AGACCCGGAATATCACTAAGTCACAAGCTGCTATAATCTATGTAGCTCTATACAAAAGTTTGAGGATAATAAAGAAAGTATCTAGGCGAGGGAGTAGAAGGGGACTCCGAAGATCTGCGGACGTAAGAAGAAGTACCTTGAAGTCTCCTAGAATCAGCGGCACGTACTAACCCCGAGGCTGATAGCTCGCACCTGGATCTGCACACGAAAACATATGCAGGGAAGGGCATGAGTACAGCTCAAAGACCATTGATACTCTTATTTCCACAGCCACTCATCTGGACATGGACGAACATGGTTCCTCTATGAATGAAACCATGTATCGTGGTATCATTGGTTCACTCTTGTATCTCACAGCCATCAGACCTGACATTGTGTTCAGTGTGGGATTATATGCTTAGATTACAATCAAGACCAAAAGAATCTCATCTTAAAGCTACTAAGAGAATTCTGAGGTATCTCAAAGGAACACAGGACCTGGTCCTCTATTATCCCTCAGGAGAAAATTTTGACTTAATTGGGTATGTTGATGCTGGTTATTTGGTGGATAGAAAGAGTACATCTGGGATGGCACATTTTCTGGGATCATGCTTGATTTCATGGGGTACAAAGAAACAAAACTCTGTAGCTCTCTCTACTGCAGAAGCTGAATATGTGGCAGTTGCTTCTTGTTGTGCCCAATTGTTATGGATCAAGAAACAACTAGAAGATTTTGATGTCTTTTCTGATTGTGTGCCACTACTGTGTGACAATACAATTGCTTTCAACATGGAAAAGAACTCGATTCAGCATAAGAGGACAAAGCATATTGATGTGCGACATCATTTTCTTAGGGACAATATTGAAAAGGGTCTCATCTGCATGAAATTTTGCAAAACAGTGGACCAGGTAGCTGATATCTTCACCAAAGCATTGAGCAGAGAGAATTTTGAAAAGAATCGACTGGAGTTGGCACTAATAAAATTGAACTGAGAACCTGGTCCCTCAATGGCTGGCTATGAAGGAATATGAAGGTAAATTGCTAAAAAGTATTTTCTGATAATTTCTAACTCAATTCTATACCGTTATAGGTAAACACGCATGGCAATTACAGGGCAAACAAGCAGCTAATGATATTGCAATTTGGTAGAAAGATGAGGCTCATATTTATAAAAATCAGTCAGGGAACCTGGTTCCCTTGACTCAGGTTAGTAGTTCCTCTTACACTCATACACATTTTAAATTGCTAAAATTGCCACGTTATTAAAATATGCCCGCCCTTTCTCCCATACCTTTTTAAGCCCAAACGTTACACATGTTACAAACCGACCCGTCTACCTAGTCTGTTGCACCCAATTGTAACCGGTCCCTCCTTCCCTCTAAATAACCCCAAAAGACTTGTCTCGCTCACAATTGTCGACATCAAAGTCATCAAACTTTCCTCTTCTCTCAGAAACCATCTTTCTTGTGTCTTTGTTTTAAAAAATTACCATGTCTTCCCAAAAACCAGAGTCTCCTAAAGCCACCATTGTCACTCCCACTGTGTCTTCATCTCACGAAGCACAATAACACGAGTTTGAGTCTCCACCTTCACCTAGTGAAAAACCCATCTCCGACCAACATCCACTCACTATCTCTTCTCCTTCTCCATCGAGTTTCGGTTCCCACCATAGCCGGAAAAATCAAACACCCAAAAAGTTTATCGCAACAAACTCTCCCTCTGCTACGCCGTAAAAAATGACAGAAGATGGAGAAGAAGGAAAAGAGGTTTCGGGCCAGAAAGTTGAGGAGGTAACTGTAGCCCAAGAGGTTTTTGCCGGTCTTAGTAAAGCATTTGGTGTGTCTACCACTCCTTCTGCTCCAATGTTTGATCTGAATATTGCATCACCATCAGGTAACGCCTCTCTCGCTTCTACTGATTCTTGTTGGATGTAAGTGAGAAGGAAGCCATAGAGAACATGTTTTTATTGCTACTGTAGGGGGTTTGGTTGGGGAGTATGTGTCTGGTTATGTGAGTGCTGAGACTCGGAGGGAAAAAGGTAATGAGGATGGAAGTGGGGAATCGATGCCTCAAAGAGAATTGGTACCAGTTAGTACTACAAGGGAGCCAACAGAGGGACCTGCTCCCTCTGCCCAATAAGAGGACTCTGCTCCTACCTGGGATGAAACTCCATGCTCCACTAAAAAGCCCCTGGATAGTACTGACCCTCTTCCTTCCCCTCATCATGATGTAGTTCCATTAAATTTTGTGATTCCTGAGATGAAGCCCTTGTCTGAAGAAGAAGATGTTGAAAGTGAGGAGGATTATGATGATATTCTTGTGGCACAGTTTATAGCTGCTAGAAGTGGTAGGGTAGTCCCCAAAGAGCCTGTTCTTAAAGACCCACTACTAGGCAGCAGAAGAGAGAAGTCCTTGAGAGTGGTTTGAAAAGAAATAAGGAGAAAATGAAAAGAAGAAGGTTGGTGAAAGGGGGAAAATTAGTGAATGAGGAGGATCTGCCTCCGGCAAATATTGTGGATATTGAGGACGAAGAGGTAAATAAGGAACTTGCTTCCCTTGTTCATAAATCCTTTAAGAAGTCTGTGATTGTGAAGTCCTAGAGAGGGTCGTCTGTGAAAGGTGTTGAGATTGATAAAGAGAAGAGTATTGAACAGAAGGACTCTGGTGAGAAAAGTAAGTTTGGGAGGAAGGAGAAGAGTGTGAAGAAATCTCAGAAGAGAAAAGCAAGTGACAGTGAGGAACCTGGTTCCTCTAAGAAAGCCAGAGTGGAAGTGTATGAAGTTGACAGAAGAGAAAAGTTGAAGAAGCAAAGGGTGTTGTGGGGCAGAATGTTTGATGCTGATATTATTGAAATGTCATGCATGAGACAACTGGTTGCAATTTGTGAGTTTCAGAAGTGGACTTATCTGTTTACCATTCAGAGTCCCAAATTCTATGAAGAGGAAGTTCGCAGCTTCTACGTTGATCTGTTCACCGTGAAAGATGACAATATCTGCCTGAAAGTTAGTGGAGTGGAGTTTGTGATGGATGAAGCTGTACTGGGAAGTATCTTGGGTGTGCCCACTGAGGGGCTCTCATCTGTTGAAGGGACATGTTCCTCTGACTTTAGGAAGATCATTCTAAAGTCTCGGACTGTTCACAGAGGGGAACGAGTGCACAAGAAGGCCCTACTTCTAGAATATCAGCTCATATTTGAAATGGTAAACAAGGTCATGCTCTCTCATGCGGAAAGACATTCTATTACTTCAACGGCGGACCTATTTCTCCTGGAAGCATTGGATGGATACACTACTATCAACCTGCCTGGATTCATGATTGAACATATGAAAAAGGTGGCAGACTTCAAGGATGGGAACCATGGCTTGCCTTATGGGTTCTTGCTCACTAGAGTGTTTGAATATTTCAAAGTTCCCTTGGGAAGAGCAGCAGTGGGAACTCGAAAGAAAACGTTCTCAATGACTACCTTGAAAGAGTGCGAGTGTATATACAAGAAGGGGGAGTTGGCAGCAATTCTATGAGTTCTCGGCTGATCGATGCTCGGGCTGCTGCTAACGAGAAAATAAGGAGGCTGAAGGCTAGAAATGCCATTCTTGAGGGACAGTTCTATCAAGCCAAAGAGGAACCTGGTTCTAGCAGTGTACAGGGTGCAGAGGTTTCCCGCTTGATGGATGAAAATGCAGAGCTAATGAAACAGGTTGAGAACCTGAAAGAGCAACTGATAAATGAACAGTGGTCTGCAAATGCTCGAGTTGATATTCTTCTCAAAGCCCTTGCCTCTTTATCCTTCTCTCCCTCTTCCAGTGCCCCTTAAATAGTCCCCTTGTCAATGTCCAGTTTATCTGTGTCTGTCCTGGTCCAAGTGTCCTGTTTTGGCCTGTTTGTTTTTATGAATGTGGTACTTTTAAGTTTGTTTATTGTGTGGATGTTTTATAACAATGGTACTACTGCCTATGTTTTTCTCTCTAATTAATCAAATGAGCATCTCAGTCTTTTGATATGCATGTTTTACTCTTGTGCTATGTTCTTAGCTATGTTGTATGCACACAAGTGGTATGAACTAACTTTACTGGAATTCCTTTTTGCGTTTACTTGCATAAATTCTTTTTATGATGTCAAAAGGGGGAAGAAAAATTGAAGGGGAGAAAACAGGTTTTCATGGGGAATATAACTAATTTGCAGGGGGAATCATATGGAGATCTGGTTTTAAGGGGGACCATCAATTCTAAGTTTGTCATCATCAAAATGGGAAAAATTGATAAGTTATGTGACTTTGTGTTTTGATGGTTTAACAAACTTCATATGAGAACCCGATAGGGAACCTGATATAAAGCCTCAAAGTGCTCGGAATAACAAGTCACGTGTCTAGCACAAGTTCCAATGATATCAGTCAAAGGAACTGCAGAGGGAACAGATGGCTATCAGTTCCTCCGGTCACGTACAAGTCAACTCCTTACAACTGTTAAAGCTGCTACAATGTTACATTGCACACGCAACAGTGCGGCAGTCACTTTTTGGAGCATGTTGTGTACCGGATACTTGCTTACATCATCCTAATTACCTCACTTACATATTACCAACATGAGGCAAGGGAAAACACACACTTGCAAACCCTAAATCATTAATTCTCTTTCAAGTGTGCAGTCGCCTCCATTTACTCCAAGGCTTGAAGAACAAAGTAGCAACAGAAGAAAGGACCAGATCCCAACACTGAGTTCATCGTGTGTCCTTAGTATTGTTGTATCTTTGTTAATGTTATTCACTTGTAATTCCTACTCAACTTAGTTAGAAGCATCTTGTAGGATATCTTTGTACACCATAAACCTTGTATTTGTGTTTGTGTTTGTGTTTGACTAGAGTTAGTCAAAGTGGTGAGCTTTGTAATAGAGTTATTACAAAGAGGCTTGCAATAGAGTTATTGCAAGTAGGTGAGGGATTAAGAGTTTAATTCCTAGGTTACAATAGATTGTAATCTAAAGTTGCTCGGTTAGTGAAATTGAAATCCTACGAGTGTAAGTCNAAAAAAAAAAATGAAGTTCCCAATAGGAATACATCGTTGAATCTGTTATGTATTACAATAACCTAACAATTATTATTGAAGAATTGTCGTATACATGCCACTTACATTATCAAATGAGAAGACTAAAAGAAGAATTCTTTGACAATATCAGTACATAGCTCAATACCAAAATTCCCACCCTTACCCACCACTCAAGAATTCAGACACAAAAGGGAACTAAGGGTGACTCTTGATCCACACAAGTGGAAAGAATATCATGGTGGGCTGTGATTCTATTCCCTAAAAAGAAAAAAAGACTGACAAAATCCTCCAATGCACCCATGCCCCAACCTCAAGAATAGAAAGTAGGAGAAAAATATATTTGATCAAAGGAGTGTAGTATTTTAGAACATAACAGCAAGCTCCTTCTCAGTCATCTCAAACACATGGTCTCTTGCATCTGTGAGAGCTGTCTGAAATTTGGAAATCCATCCAGATATTATGAGGATCTAAAAATTGTGTAAAACAGCTGAAGATGAGAATAAAATAGGGTGTCATACGAAGATACCTGCCCTAGTTTGGTGAGGAAGTTGCTGGTAAGATTTATGGATGTGAGTCTTACATCTTCATTTGCCTTCAGTGCTTGAGCGATGGAGAAAGCTCCTTCATCCTGTGCACACGAGAGACTAAGTTTGCAAGAAGCTAAAGTTTATCGAGACAGGAGGCTGTACTAAAAAGGAGTTACATACTCTAATTTCATTGAACCCTAAATTGAGTGTTGTCAAAGCTTCATTGACCACCTTTAAACTCCGAGCAAGGCAGATTGCACCCTGAAAAGGAGATAGTTATTGTACTTCGAGGGAAATTGAAGATTGCCGCAGGATGAATGAACTATAAACTACTAATTAAAACCTCGTCTCTAAGTCCATTGGCTCGCAAGTCTAGAGTAGAGATGGTACTATTGTACTTTAACATGTCAGCAATTTCCTCCGCACCTTTGGCTCCAATCTGTAATAAAATTAGGTAAGCATGCCAAAAGAGTTGAATAAAGAGAGCTTATATGAAACAATCCATCAATTACCTGACACCAACCAAGCATGAGATCTTTCACATTTCCATGAAACTTGAGGACCTCTGCTAATGCCTTCGCCCCCTCTGGTCCAATGGGGTTGTAACCAAGCTCTAACTGTGTGTAAGAAATTTTAAGTATCTCTTTTTCGAGACATCAGTAAAAGGAAACATTTTGATGAAACTCACTGAGGTAATGACAGAATTATCTTTCAGGACTTCTGCTAAGGCACTGATACCCTTAGAATGTATGTCATTGCCCCCCTGTAAAATTTTCACAGAACTTCAGTCATCAAAGGTATGCAAATACCACTATGAAAATAATGCTTGACTAAGAAACAACAACCTCCTCCCTGAACAAACAAGAAATATTAAATAAAATAGAAAAGAAACAACAGCTTACTAGATCTATGTTAGTTATTGAGCGGTTCTCCTTCAAAGCTTCTGCA